ATCTAGGACAAGCGTTCGTCGCTTTAGCAACCAGCCCTGTTATCGACCTAAAGTGGACCGTTTTCAAATAATACACCTGACCAAACATCACAATTTTAACTCTTCTAATTCATTTATTTCAATGTTTTTTTTTTTTTTTTTTCTTCAAACAAACAGAAACAACTTGTATCGACGAACTTTATCAGTGAAATGGATGCTTCATCAAGTGCTGGACACACATACGTTCAATTTCATCGATCAATAGATTCATAAATTTTTGATCCTGTTTTCCGCAACTATTATCAATCTTCTGCTAGTCATCCCCCCAAAACACTTATTCCATTAGAACAAATATTAGACGGATTTCGAATTGCATATAGTCTTGCACATTACTGTAACATTTTAAACCCTATCATCGCACCAACACTTGACGATTTCTTTGTCATAGATCCCTTTCGTGCAACTTTAACATCATTATCTCTTTTTGTTTCTCTCTACAATCCCGTTGAAGTTACAAGAGCTCAATACGCATATCATTTATCTTACCATTCTCCACCACATATAAGACAACTATTTCATTTTTTACGACATACTGCACTAATGACATTTCGATCTGACCACAAAACATTTTTCATCATTGATGTCGCCATTGCTATACGAATAATATCACACTCATTCTTTTCATTTGTTCTTCTTTCACTAATTACATTTAATAACATTCCACTACATTCTTTATCATTCAGTGCAACACAAGAATTTGACGAAAATTTATCAAACTATATAAGAGCAAATCTAACTAATTTTATAATATTTTTTTATGCTTTTACACTTACACTTTGCGCATTCGTTATCCCATTATCAAAACAACTAACTCGTTATAGAGCAACTTCACTTCGACTTTACATTGTCAACCACAATTATAACTCTCACATACGAACACAACTTGTCAATCTTCCTGAAAACTTATTATTTGTTTTTCGTCAAAACACACCTCAAAATACGGCCTTTCTTGCATAATGGTTTCTCTGGGGCCCTGGTCCATGTAACTATTACATACTCAACCATATTGTAAGACAACAAAATTTATATTCATATTTTTCTTCTCACCCAATTCAACAATTCATGCCTTTTACCGAATATCGATGCGCTTTCCGAGTCGATCATGATAATAACGATTTAGCATTATTCGCTTTTCAATCACTTGGAATTGAATAAAATTTATATACAAAACTACTTAAAAATTTCCCCTTAAACATATCATAACAATATAATTCAACAAACAAATATGTTCTTTCATTTTTTTTCTCTTTTCCTGCCTATTGATTACTTTGTATTTTCATTCTTTACATCACTTTTCGCGAATATACAATGACCCGTATTTTTCAACCTGTACTTAGATTATGGCTTCCGGCGCATCATATACACCAACAAATGTTGTTGATACAAATACTCCATCTTCAAAACGCAAGCAACCTAGCATGAAATAGATACTGTAAACTTTAAAAGCCTTACGAGAAGAGAAGCGCAGCAAGACACATATCATTCATAACGAGATGTCTGAACTACAAGCGTTTATCGAAGAACGAAGACCCGCTGGATCATTACTAGTAACCGAAAGAGGATATCTGGTTGAGTTCAAATGACATTGGTCAAGAGAAGTACGAGTGGTCGACATGACTCTTGCTGATAGAGACCAAGAAAGTCAAATTGATGACATACATTGGACAGTCACGAACGTCAACGGAACTACACATACTGATATACAATCTCTACTACGAAATGGGACTATATACGATTATGACGAGGACCTTGCTATGCCACCGATCGGAACTCTGTTGACTTTCAACCATACAACAGGACACAGACTTTATGAATGGAAGGATCTCCGATATCCATGTTTCAACGCCAACATAAGGACAATGGAACCTGCTTCTTCAAACAGAATTCCACAACATAATGTGCAGTCGACATCAAGTGATCATAATACTTCTACAAACGATTATTCAACATTTACTTCAAATGCTCAAGAACATCAAGATGTTTCAACATAAACTAAAAGGTAATAAACACAAACATCAATTAAAACCTTGTACTTTTTTTCCCTATAAACCTTATATCATCATTTTTTCTCCACAATGATATTCACTTTTATTTTCTGCTTCTTTATGTCGATTATTCTTTTTGCAGGTGCTTATTTCCATTCCTCATCCACACATTATGATAATCCTTCACCGCTCTTTTAACAATATTCGCACATACTTAGAACAACATAATTTTCAACATACACGACAAATCGATGAAGAAGGCATTTTTATTTCTTACATTGCTTACCACACGACAACTTCTATATCTTTATATATCTTTTTAATAGATACCACACCATTACCAACAAATCTTCAAAATCTTTGTATTGCAATCATCAACGATGTCATTTGCATCCTGGATATTCCTCATCCCGAAACAAGAATTTTATTGACCAATACTACTCATCATAAATTTATTTCTACATCCCTTATAACTTTCAATGCATCATTCGCATTCATATATATTCTAAATTAAAATAAAATAATATAATATATAACTTGAAACATATACAACATTACACTCTTATCTTTATACCAAATAACTACATACAATATTACATTCCTAATTCCACATTCTAACTATAAAATAACTCATTATTCTCTTTGTCGTATTCCATGGCAGATAAAAAATGACTTCTGAAGAACCATCAAGGCCAAGCGACTACATGGAGCCCACAAGACAACATCAAAGATACATATATCATACAAGGAGAATCGACCTCGAACGATATCTTAATTTTCTTCCTATGTACCAACCGACGCCGATCACAGAAAGCGGGCTTCTAGTACATCATCACAAATGATAAAGAGGAGAGCAACAGATGGTTACCATATATTTAGCAGATACAAATCAACAAGAAGTTGTCAATGACGTCAATACTGCGCTTAAGACAAATTATATAGACGCACACAAAGATCTAACTCCATTGCTACGAAAAGTCATAGTCTACGACTATAATGATAACTATGATATTCCACTAATCGGAACAACTATGACATTTCATTACACTTTTAATCATCATGAATCATTAGAATCTCCAGGACTAACATTTGATGCTAATTTCCAACATATGATACCACAACCTCTTCCCATCTTCACATTGCCACTTCGACCAAACACACCTCCTAGACAATAAGCAGGTACCAAAACCACTTGCTTATGTAATTTTTTTTTTAAAAACAGCCATCCTTTAAACACTTTAGACATTGCAAAAGTTCACGAGCAGAAGGAGCAAAAGATATACGCTCCTGATAGTCAAAGCAGAAACCAAATACTTCATCAAGCAAGCGATTCATACAGACATAGAATTAGGTTTAGTTGCCGTATGAACAGAATAACAAATTTACATATTTGCTTATAAAATATGTTGCAATGCATTCACAAATAAAGATTAATATACTTAGTTTAGAGTATTCCTATTTAGCCAAGAACTTATATTAGGCTTTTCTACAGATATAACTTCTCGTTTTGTTTATATAAATCTCATAAATATACCAATAATGAAATTCTCTATAAATTGGTGGAACACTTTGCATCAACCTTATAGTATTAGCCAATTTGGTACATCAATACATCTTTCTATACTGATACCCATCTTTCTGATATTTACTAGCTTTTTGTTGCTATGTCTTTTTATATTTGCTTCAATTTTTCGAACCTTTTTTATGATGTAAGAGATACCGAATGTGTCTTTCTATATTTGCATCATGGTATCCAGAAAAACACTTAATTTTTAGAATCTTTTTTTTAATGTAAGAGATGCCAAACTTAGTTTCCATCTTGTATAATTAAAAAACGACCATCCTATGAACCAGGCTTCAATGCCTTCGCTTTGTTAAGTTGAATGCAAAATAAAAAGCAAACACTCATCCAATCCAAAAAATTCGATAAAAATTTGATGAATAAACTTGCGTCAAAAAATTTCTTCATTTTTTCCCTTTTTTTTATTTTTTCCTTTAAATATGCATCACCAAGGCAGGCCAGCCTAAAAAAAAAGCCTCCCTCCACTACACAATATACAAGACTCTACATGCATTTACATGATGGGTGCAAAACGGGCAGCAGGGGTCATCATATATCCATAACTCAATCTTTTGGCTTCGCTTTGTTTTGGCCCAACAAACAAAAAAAAATGTTTTGCGCCAACAAACAAAAATTGGGAGCAGGGGGTACGTCATGAAAGTAGTGACGATTCAATCCTTTTTTTTTTTTTTTTTTTTTTTCAAGAAAAGAATGTCTTCTGTTTCTCACATGACTCCGCGTGAAAGCCGCGGGGAACAATCTATGAGCCTCGTGCAAAATGAGAATCAATTTTCCGCTAAAACATGGAAAGATGCACGACCATGATTTATGTCTTTTGAACATCTCAAAAGTAGTCAGAAGACACCCTTTTGCTTATCAGCCCCCTTCTTTTCAAGGCATTCTCACGCAGCCGTGTCCACAATCCCCTTCTTTTCAAGGCATTCTCAGAAAGCCCTGGCCACAATGCATCTGACTGTACCTCTAGCCAGGCATAAGGTGGTACGACAAGGCCTCAGCTGCTTGCTATTCATTTTTAAACTTTTTCTTTATTTTTTCTTTCCTTTTTTCTATTTTTCTTTCGTGTACTGAGGGAGCTGCCTCACATGGTCATCCCCACATCCCCCGAGGCTACAATCTCCTACCCCCTGGCTGCGCCCCCGCGCCCCGCGCGGTCACAGTCGTTTGGGAGGCCGTCAGGCGGCGCCTGAGAGCGAACGTGGTCGTATTGGAAGCCAAATTAGGTCCAAGACGTCCTGGTGTGATTACATCCTAAGTCCCAAGGGTATCAGAGGACTTTCGCTGTCAGTTTGACCGCTGCGGGCTTGACCTTGACAGACGTGGCGCCAGGACTTCCCAAGACGCATCTGCCTGAAAATGGGTCCAGGTCCGTTGAAACGGACCTGACGTGAGTACGGCCTCACTGACCCCTGACTTCCGACCGTTCGGTCGCTCTCTTGACCAGTCGTCCGCCATCGCTGCTGAGCTTTTCTGCTGGGTGTTCTTTTGGCGGAGAGGATGAACCAGCTGTCACAAAACGACGGTGAAGATGTGGCCTTGGAGCCAATCCCTCCGACGACGGGCCTCGTGCGGAAGACCGCGGAGATTGGCGCGGTGGTATCGGTAACGGGGTCTGCGGTCAGACGGATGGCGATCGCGACAGACGATGACGTGTCCGATAGAGCCACGTGCAAGACAACTGAAAGATTTGACCGGGAAGGGGAGCATCATGCCACGTCAGCACATGTTGGAGATGGCAGTGGTGCGAGCAGTCGTCCTCTTCGCGCAGTGTCACAGCGGATGGAGGAGAAAGAAGGAGGAGGGGGAGGAGGAGGAGGAGGAGGAGGTGTTTTGCCCAGGAACGAGGAACAGGAGGGGAGGGAAGAAGGAAGGAGGAGGACAGAGGAAGGTGTAAGAATTGGCGGGAAAGAGCTGTCCGAGGGCGGGAACGACCGAGAGCGGGAGAATGAGAGAGACGGAGGAGCTGCACGTGGTCTGTGCGACCATGCGTACGAGGATGTGATGGAATCGCAGAGAGAGGAGATCGAGCTTGGTCGACGAGGAGAGGGAGATGGTCGCTCTGAGTCACAGAATTTGCAAGAGGAAGATCAGAGGGAGGGGAGAAAGGAGGCCAAAGATATAGGAGAGGGAGGTGGCCCCGTTGAGCAGGAAACGGAAGACGCGGTCCGTCGTGTGAACTCAGAGCAGACGCTCGTCGTGGAGGTAGTTACGGCGGCCGAGAGGAGGGAGGGGGAGGGAGAGGGAGAGGGAGAGGGAGAGGGAGAGAGCGCGAAAGAATTAGACAGGGGTGGAGAGGGAGGTGGAGGGAGAGGCTCCAATCGTGCTTGTGAGAGATTGATCTCTTTTCGCGCTCGCCTGAAGGGTCGTTTCCCCTTGACTTCGTCTTCCACAGACTTTCCCGTGTTCCAAACGTTTGTCCGTGGAGATGGTATTGGGACTAAGTGCCAGACCAGGTCTGGACCAGGGTTGGAACGGTGGTCCAGTTGTGGGACCAGTGCTTGTCCCGGCGAGAGTAGATGTGCCGTTAGCGGGACACAAAGCCGCTGGATGGAGCGCGGTCGTCTCGGAGAGGGACGATCACAGGGGAGTAAGGAGGAGGAGAATGAAGGAGAGGAGAGGGGGGAGGGAAATATGGAGAAGAAGACAGAAGAGGAGAGCGAGGAGGTGAGTAAAGAAGTTGGGAGGGAGGAGAAGAAGATGGGAGGCGATCATCACGAGGAGAAGAGAAAACAGGAGGAGGGAAAGCTAGGAGAGGGGAGGCAGGGGGAGGGAATAGGAGACAGCAAGAAAGAGAAGATGGGACAGGAGGAGAAGAAGAAAGTCGTCGGAGAGGAGAGGAAGCGGGAGAAGATAGGACAACAGAGGAAGGAGGAGAAGGTAGGTGAGGAGATGAAGGAGAAGATAGCAGAGGAGAGGAAGGAGGAGAAGATAGCAGAGGAGAGGAAGGAGGAGAAGATAGCGGAGGAGAGGAAGGAGGAGAAGGTAGGAGAGGAGAGGAAGGAGGAGAAGATAGGAGAGGAGAGGAAGGAGGAGAAGAAAGCAGAGGAGAGGAATGAGGAGAAGATAGGAGAGGAGAGGAAGGAGGAGAAGAAAGCAGAGGAGAGGAATGAGGAGAAGATAGGAGAGGAGAGGAAGGAGGAGAAGATAGCAGAGGAGGAGGCGCAGGAGAAGAGAGCAGTAGAGAGGGAGGAGGAGAGGGTAGGGGAGCAGGGGAAGGAGGAGAAGGAGGAGAAGGTACGAGAGTTTTCGTATCCGGTAGTCTTAAGGCCAGAGGAGAAGGAATCGACAGGGAAGTTCCCTCGTATATTACCTATACACACAGCCATAGCAAAAGTCTTCTCCGAACAGATGGTCATACCAAAGCGAGATGTCTTCCTGATGCTCGACCAGCTTTACATGGACCACCCGGTTGCCTTGTTTCGAGTACGGAGGACCTTTTCCCTTGCTCTACTTAATGTTTTTCGTTTTGTTTTCCTTTCTCCTTTCTTTATCCCTTCTCTTTTTTTGCCCTCTCCAGGAAACAATTACAGTCAGTCCGTTTGACTTTTTGTTCTCGTCTGGAGCTGTTCATGTTTCTGTCTTCTCCCTTCCTCTAGTTTCCATAGTCCTCTGGCCATTTGTTCTTGTTTGACTCTACGCTCGGCCCCTCCCCCCCCATCTCTCTCTCTCTCTCTCTCTCTCTCTCTCTCTCTCTCTCTCTCTCTCTCTCTCTCTCTCTCTCTCTCTCTCTCTCTCTCTCT